TTCCAGCCCCAGAAGCCTGCTCTTTCACCTGGGGGTCCACTTGGGAAGGGGGTAAGCAATCGGTGCAGCTTTCTCCTAAGGACGTTAATGCTAGATACTGCTAAAATCTTCCTATCACTGAAATACTCTATAAATTGAGGTTTTGCATCCAAGATGCATCATCTCTACATCAGGAAATCAAAGTGGCACTAAGATATTCACCTGTTTGCTTTCCCAGACCCTCTTGCTCATCCTGGGAACTCCTGAAAGGACACCTGAGGTCACAAAATAGCATCCTGAGTTCACTGATGACAGTCCACACTCACGTGTGGAGACACGACACACAGATTCATAAACATACATTTAAACTATGATGACACAAGTACATCACTGAAATCTTCTCATCTTCATCTTTGACATGCATCATCTGCCACAGCATGTCCCCTTTTTACCATAATCAGAAGTCTGGCAAGAAAACAAACTTAGTTTTTTACATACAGCACTTGTAACTTGTGCATATATTTACAGTAGTGAAAAGTTGGGTTGTTAAAATAATCGACCTCAAGATCCTGATCATAAAAATCATGATACACTCCTACTTTAATTGTAGGAACAATGAAGAATTTTGGAACCATGTAACAATCCTTTTTAAAGCCAGGGCACAGCTTTTGTCAGCTTTGTGGTATGTTAGTTCTTCTTCATCCATGAGAAACTGAACCAAACAGATAGTTATGTTTTTCGTGCACGTACAGAGCTATGATAAAAGAACTTATGAGTACAAACTAGTCAGTCACAGGAAAAGATTTTCAACAATAACTTATCATAGATTTTAGCAACCTCAGGATGATTTTTTCCCTTCCTGATTAAAACAAGTACTTTCACATGTTATTTAATGGAAACACATCGGGATTTCTCTTTGGCACATACAAACTGCCAGCATCACTATTCTTGTGATTTGGAGCCATTGTTAAGTAAAATAAAAGTTTAAACACAAGAACTCAAATATCATAACCATCAAAACAATATCATAACAATCTGATGACAAAAACACGTACCAAGCAGCATATACAAGATGTAAGAAGAGCATATATGCATCATGGATACATTGCACAAGGGAATAATTCATATACCAAGTAGGACAGAGCATAGTAAGCATGAGATTGTGTTACCCTACTGAAAACAGTGCATAACTTAAAAGTTATGAATTATTTCAAAAACTTGTTATTTCCTAGTTTCAAGTTACAGCTGATCATGACTAACTGAAACCACAGAAAGCAAAGCCACTGAGAAAAAAGGGTTCTTACAGTGTTTGTCTGAATATCTTACTGAAAGATAAGAAGGCAAAGTAGGCAGTAGGCTGTAGGTATAGTGAAGATTCACATTTTTAAAATAGCTGTGGTGGTATATGACTGCAATCCCAACAGGAAGCTGAGGCAGGAGGATCATTGCAAATTCAAGACGAGCCTGGGCTACAAAGTGAGCCCAAGGCCAACCTGAACTGCATAGCAAGACACTGTCTCAAAAAGACGAAGAAGAAGAAGAAGAAGAAGAAGAAGAGGAGGAGGAGGAGGAGGAGGAGGAGGAGGAGGAGGAGGAGGAGGAGGAGAAAGGAGTGAGCTCGATCTTTTCCAAATTTAAACGTACAGAAACTACTCGGCAAGTATGGTACCTGCTCATGAGGAGACTGTGTATCAGCTGGATATTGGTATATAACAATCCCAAGACACAATGGTTCAAATAATACTGGTCTGTACAGAATCATGATCCTTCAACTTAGAGCAGAGATAAGTGTAATTGTTCTGTCATCAGCTGGTCTTCCTCAGCATCAGCACCCTGAAGGTTGGTTAGGTGCCTCCGCTTCTGCCTTTTTTTGGTTTCTTTTGCACGGATAGCTCAGCTCTGCTCTGTGCAGTCTCTCACTCCACGGCAGGCTGGGGTGTGCGTGACCTCAGGACCGTGGCAAGGCTCCAAGATGCAGTGTGGGCATGCAGTCTTGAGAGACTACAATAGCTTTCTGTTGATGCCTAACACTAACCACAAACTGAGCCCCTCAGCAAAATACTCATTTATTAGCTCACAGCACCATGCATCAGAAGTTCAGTCCACTGTAACTCATGTCTCTTTGCTGCACGAAAATGAAATCACAGGAATGCAATCGTCAATCCTTACCTGAAGGCTCTGTGTGAAAAAAAAACCTGTCTCCAGTCTTAGTCTTCTTGTTGACAGAATTTAGTTCCTTGTGGCTGTGGGACAGAGGTCCCTACTTCCCTGCTGGCTGTCAACCCGAGACTATTGTCAGGCCCTGAGCCACCTCCCATTCCTTCCTACAAAGCCTCCCTCATCTCCAGCCCAGCCAGGCTATGCTAGCTCCTTCTGTCCTTCACCTGCCTGGTCTGTAACCTCCAGCTCCAGACGGTAGCCCATGCACGGTTGGGCAAGGCCCACTTCAAGGAGTAAAGACTGATTAATAAAGAGACTTGGAAACTTACTTATACCTACAAATCCCTTTTGCTTTCTAATGCAAATTATCACAAGAGCTACAGGTGCCAACCATCACACAGGCCAGAATCACTCGGGGGACGGGCTTTGTGGGTCATCCTGAAATCCCGCCCCCTATGAAACCTTGGCTCAACTGCTCACAGTGTTCAGACTCACCCTAAAGACCAGAGGAGTTCACACAAAATTCAAATGATGGGAAATAAAAGCCACAACCAGCCCCAATGAGAAGCTCAAAATTGACAGCGTTCATATTTTGATATTTCAAGATTCATGGGGCTTAAATCTTCTCTTCCTAATAATCCTAAGTAAATTCTTGCCTCCCTGCCCCTATATTAGATTGAGAAGATGTGTTTTTTATTTTGGTTTGGTTTGGTTGGTTTTTGTTTTGTTTTGTTTTCAAGGTTCCCATACACTCAATGGTAAGAAGAGGTAAGCTTCAGTTAACATGAAATAGTTAGGAAAAGGGGGAAAAAAGATCTTCCTGTCCTCAGTGAGATTTTATCTACTTATTAAATATTTTTGAGGTTAGGGGGCAAGGCCAAAAAACAAGGCTTAAATCTCTGTATCCTTTTCCAGAGGAGAATGTATAGAAATTATAGTCTACTCAAGTTTAAATGGTTTTTCAGAGCTAACTTAGTTCTAATAATACTGAAAGAAAAAATAAAAAAGATGATCTGCTGTATAGCTCCTGGACCATCTTGGCAGTGGGCACCAAGTTTAGAATGAGAGCTTCTGGGAAACACACATTTTCTTTAATGGTTCTCAACAGCTACGGCCACTCAGGTCTACCTCTACACACAGCCCCTTCCTGCCCTCCGCCTTAGCTAAGTGGCCAAATTACCAACTTGTGCAGAACTCCACAAGTCAGGTCTACCAGAGTCTCAAGGGTTTCCAACAGTGATGAAAGTCCAGCTGATAATATATACCAAGAATCCAAAGAGGGCAAGACAAATTATTCAAAAAGTAAAACACTATTTTCGAAGAGAAGCACAGGACAGAGCTGGTTGGGGAAAACACTCAAGTTTGAGCTGCACAGAGTCTTTGTCAGCAGATGCTATTATCGGAGAGTTTGAGGATTGTTCCTTAGCATGAGTGGAAAGCTCAGAATAGCAGCGATCTGCCAGCAAATGTGAGCCTCTTCTTGCATATTAATCTTTCCTGTCACTTTCCAATTATGCCTGTGCTATTGAGTAGCACTGGACACGTTGAACTTTCTTTTTCAAGAAACTATTAGCTTAGCTGGTGGTCCATATTATTTCCACATTTCAGCAATAAAGCAGTGTTTCTTTTTTAAAATGTGACATTTTTTTTCAGTTGTTTGTTGCCAGATCTCCCAAAAAGCCAGCTGAAGTCTATTAAATACGTTGATTACTATTATTTGGAAAAGGTGCTGGCAAACTTTTGAGAAGGGTGTGATGTTGCTAATGTGTTTTGCTGACGATGAAGATGAGAGCGGATAAAGGGAAAGGAAGGGGATGCCGGGTGCTCATGAGGACGCAGGAAGGGCTTCTCTGTCAGTCTCTTCTTTGTGCTTCCCATTGGCGAGAAAGTCGCGGGTCTGGGAAACATCACACCAGTACCATCCCAGACAATTGAGTCTGCCTGGCTCAGCCCTGGGGTCTGCTCTTCGGAAGCTTTTCTGTGGAGAAGGAAGCTGGAAACAGCCTTTACTCTGTGGGCCATTTATGCAAATCATGGCTAAGCTCCTTGAACCCCTGAAACGTAAGTTCCGCATTCTAAGGAAATTAAACAGAGCTAGTCCTGGTCCTCCACATTTTGCTATGATAACATTTATAATATGAGTAAACAATCAAATGATCACATTTAAATGCCTTCATTCAACAGAGGCCAACGCTAGCTAGCCCAGGCCCTTTGAGGACCCCTGAATTTATGGGGAGAATAAAGCAGACCAGGCCGGTGTCCTCAGGAAGCTTAGCTCCCAAGGCTTTTTGCTTTTGGTTCCTTTTCCTGGTAATTCAGTGATACTTAAGATCATTAGCAACATCCTGAAATACACCATATTCAGTTATAAGGCATGATGGAAAATATATAAAGGTCTCCTTTTCTTTCATATCTACTTAAAGTGAGACTACCAAAAAAAACTAAATTAGGTTCTTACAGATAATCTTTTTGCGGTACCAGGGATCAAACTCATGACCTCACACTTGCCAGGCAGGCACTTATGCCACTGAGCTAAATCCTCAGCTCATAGGTAACCTTTTGAAAAATTAATGAGAGCAGGAAAAGTACATTGATGTGTACAGTTCTGATGTCCCTTGACGACCTAAAAAGTTAGGTCTTTTTTTTCTTTTTTTTTTTTTGCTGCCAGGGATTGAACTCACAACCTCACGCTTGCCAGGCAGGCGCTGATGCCACAGAGTTAAATGCTCAGCCTCCGCCCTCTTAAATTGTTATTGCTAAACCACGGTATTCTCCATCTTTCACTTATTTTTCCCACTGAGAATACAAGTTGAGCCACTTAAGTACTATCCTAAGGATCAGTGAGCACATTTCAAGCACAATTAGAGAAATATTTCCTGAAATTAGGGTACTTTCATTTAATTATATTAGAAGGAAATAAATACAAATTCTAAGGGTAAACATAGGCAGAATGACTCAGAACGCAGGAGGGAACGTTCTGGGCCAGTGCTGGTAAGAGCTGAATAAGAGGGCAGCTGTGTGGTCCACGCACGGCATTCTTTGTTTTACAAATTGATCTGTTGAGGACAAACTGAGTCTTCAGTACAGTACGAGAAACAGTTCTGGAACAAAATTACTGACCAGTCACTCCAGGAACAGCCACTGTCTGAGCAGAACTGTCTGTGACGATGGAAATCTCCGGTACACACATAGCAAATTAAAATTCAGGAACACGAACAGTGCGGGGCTTCAGGTAGAGTGACCACATTCAAAGTGCTCCATGGTGACGTGGCCAGCGGTAGCACGCGGACCAGCACAGTTCTGAAAAACTTAAGAAAGAAGGTTAAGATATGCAGTGAAAATACCCTCCCAGGTTTTCCAAACATGGGCAAAAAGGAAAGTGACTCCCAAAAGACCTCTGGGAAGAGATAAAAGGGCTCACTTTGTATCATCTGGAGTATTTTTTCTTCTTTCCATCGAGTTGCACCAATCATTAAAACAAGTTAGCAGCACTTTTCGTCCCAACACCTTAAGCAAAGTTTCAACTCTGCCCCTGGAGAAGTCCTCTGATACGTGTTTCATAAACCTGTGTGTAGACAGCATACTTTCCAAGTACCTGGTGTGTGCCTTCCGTGTAATTTACTTTTTGGTCCTTTGAGTATATTTAAAATGGAAATTCCCCGACCTACATAAAACCTATCTATATTTTAAGCACATTTTCTAAGGCTGTTCCATGAAGCAGTTTTCTCTATTTACTTTAGTCTATTTCTGCAGCCAAAATCATGCAACAAGATTTTCAAACTGGCAAGAAAGATGAAAATAGACAAGGTTCTTTACTGTACACACAAGCCCTTGAAATGTCTTTATTTGCCTACAAGGACATTCGTAAAGTAGGATTCAGTGACCCTTGATCAAAACCTGAGGGCCAGCCACAGGTTAATGCTGACATTTTAGTTAGGAACCATTGTTCACATACCAATGATAAGGATTAGTCATAACTTAAACTATGCAACGTATATGAAATCTAGCTGCAAGGGATTTTCGCTAAAAAGAAAAAGTGCCCCTTACCAGCTTCACTTCATAGGAAAGTGCTTCACAACTACAGTATTACAAGCTTAGCATTCAAGTGACACAGAAAGTAACCTTCCATGCCTACCTTCCCCACTTTATATCAGAGGGGTTTCCTGGAAATTATTTGTTTTATTCTTCTGGAGTCCACTCCAGTCTAAATGGATGGGAAAGCATTTAGCAAGCTGTGATGGTTGAGTGGTTGTGTCAACTGGAGAATTTTGGTTAAGAGAAGCTTAACTAAATTGGCTCAGCAATTCCACACCCTAGGGCGTGGGAGACCCACCCTTGGGTGGCTGGTCTTTCTGGCTGATACAAAGGGGAAATGAGGAAGGATGGACCTGCATCTGTCTTTTCCAGTCTTTAGTCTTCACCTTCAATGTCATCTCCTGGCTCCAGCAGACTCTGGCTTGCATCATAGACTCTTCAGCCTTCCATCATGGACCACTGCAGAGTCCTGATACAGACTGGCGCCGACACTGTGGTGAGCTCCAGACCTCAGAGAAGATCCTTTGGCTCCACTGTATAGACAGACCTTCTGCACTCTTCCTCACCCAACCATTGTAAAGCAATCTTGTAAATTCTTATACATTTGTATATCTTGTGCTATATCTGTTTCTCTAGAAAGTACTGACCAATACGCAAGTCAATCGCCCCTCCTCAAAGAAATCTTTCCAAGAAGCAAAATAGTCCAGACCTAACCAGAATCTCAAGTCTGCCTCAGGAAAACCCTCAGAATCTCATTTTTCAGCTCTCCGTGGGTACGTTCGCTTACTGGTCTTTACTGTCCACATATAGGCCATCTCCAGCAACAGACCCAACACTGCATAAGCTGTGTTTGGAATTCCTACTGTGGGACCAACTATTAAGGTGCATATTCCTAAATAGATCACCACTTAATTATTTAATGTGTTTTATTAGATATAGAACACTGTTTTATAAGTGTATATATGTTTTATCACTAATAAAATTATAAATATAGTTCACCACCTAAGCTGGCTTATTGGAGTAATGTATTACTTGCATGAGTTCCAAGATATAGGAAGAGCCTTTGCTATATTACACGAATACTTAGAGGCAATTCTAACCCAAGCACGATCCCAAGTCTAAACCCTTGTTTGAAAGGTTAAACACAAACCAGATAGGTTGCATAAAAAAAAAAAAAGATGATCAAGTGAACTATACCATTAGACCTAGTTTCAATGTCAAACTCAAGTGTCAGTTCCCTATTTCCACACAGCCCAACATTTTACAGAGAGAGGAAAGAGACAGAGGAAGAGACAGTCCTCAGGACAAATGTGCAAAGAAGCAGGATTAATTTAAGAAAACACAAAAAAGGAAAACATACCTATAGAGAAGTTCAAATACTATACAAGAAGTGTTCTTCCTTAAAGGAAAAACAAGCTAAGATTTTAAGCAGGTGTCAGCACAGTGCGGCCCAGGAGAGAATGGGCCTGTTTTTGTAAATAAAGTTTTACTGACACACAGCCCACACCTACTTCTGATCCATTATCTAAAGCTGCTTCCAGGATGAAAGGAGGCACTAAGTAGCCGTGATAGAGAGCACGTAGCTGGCTCATTAAACTAAAAGATATACACAGTCTGGACCTGTATGGACGAAGTCTGCTGGCCTCCGGTTTAAAGTTACAGTCTGTGGAAAACAGTGACTACTGGAGCTGTTTACCACAGCAACTTTAAACTTTTTTCCTTGTACAGCAGAGCGTTTGCACCTCCATGTACAAGGAACCTCAGCTTTGTCACTCAATCACTTTAAATTCTGAGAATGTTTTGTAAACACTCGGTAAACTTATCTTCAGGAAGTTAAGAGAAGACTGGGACTATCTCTAAGGTTTCATTTCAAAACATGCGTGCCTCTGCCTGACACCAGAACTCTGAGAGCGCTGGTAGCTCCAGTAACAGGGCGTCTGCAGAGCCAGCCTCTTGGGAGGCTGCCGCGGGGTACTCCAGGCCGCGGAGTGAGCTTGAAAAATCCAGCATAACTGCTTTTCCAAGTTTGCACCATAAATAATCATTTTTTTACAAGGTTCAAGTAACTTACCCACCAGGGGAAAAAAAGGAGGTAAAAAAGTGGAAGGATGACACGGAGATTTTCCCTTGGGCGGAGATGTGCAGAATAATGGTGCCCCCTGCAGCACCTCAGTATTTACCTGGGCGCGTGGGAACCCTCAAGAGCCCTACACACTTGGGCCCGTTCTATTCAGGGAGAAAAGTTCCACCAGCAAACAGGAAAAGGAAGGATGAGAGCAATATTCCTCTTCTTCACATTCTTCGTTCGTCCCCACAGATGCCACTGGTTTTTAAGCTTCTTCTATTGCCTGATAACTTCCTCAGAGTGACAGAGAATGCAATATAAATAAATGGATGTCCTTGAACCTGTAAGAAGCCCAAGAGGGCTGTGCAGAAATGCTGGCTGTCTCGGGCCGCACTCCATGCAAACGCCGTGGCCACTCTCAAGTGTCCTGCAGGGAGAGGGGTGGCCAGGGCAGCAGCAAGACCTGGAGACCAGGAAAGCCAGCTTGTTAGAAACGTCTGGGAGAGTTGAGGTCCTGCGATCTCCAAGGAGAGCGCTGCTTCAGCAGCATGGATACAGAAACAGCAGCAATTCGGAGACCAGCCTGGCCCCTGCACAGGGAGCAGCCACGCCTTCCTGAAGTGCACATTGTTTAACAAGGAAAATAACTTGAAGAGAAAAACCCAATAAAATATAGATCACAGGGAAGAAGGGGGCAGATTTACTGGGATGGGATGGGAATCTGAGGATGGGGAGAGACAGGAGGGAGGGGACGGCAAGAGAAAGTAAAAATGACTCGGATGCAATGTGTGCATGCCGGTCCCCCGGATGAATTTAATATTCTGCATGCCAGCATTTGCTAATAAAAAAAAGAAGCTTTACAAGATGAAGGATCCAAAGAGATGCATTGATGTGCTGGGACTGTCATACCAGAATACCTCAGAGTAAGTGGCTTCAACAAGAAATTCATTTCTCCCCATTCTGGAGGCTGGAAGTCCACGACTGAGGTTGATTTCCAGAGAGGGGTGACCACCTCCGGTGCATTCCCGCTCAACGTGTGCTCATCTCATTCTACAAGGACATCAGTCATCCTGACCTCCACTGTGTGGTCACTGTAATGTTTTCATCTTTTCATGTAGCTTCAACTACTTCTGCAAAGATGCTAACTCTGAATACAGTTACCACCTACTGTCCTGGGGGTTAGAAATTCAACAGAGGAATTGGCACAGGGTCAGGGGAACACAATCCAGCCCAAAACAGGAAATAAGAAGTCAGTTAAGACACCTGCTTCTCATGTTGGTAGCTAAGGTTACGAGAACACAGTGAGTAATAACACATCAAGATACAAGGAAAGAACAAGCAAAAGAAAGAGAAAGAAAGAGAAAAGGAAGGAGAAGAGGAAATAGAGAGCGGGCAAGGAGGGAAAAAAAGCTTATGAACGGCTGAATTCCAATTCATCTAATCAAAGGATCTTGAAAATTTGCTCCACCTCTGCTGCTCAGACATTGAAAATCGGAAAGGTGGTGAAGGTTGGATGATCCCAGCCACAGAGGGCCTCCACCCTTTCCCAAGGTGCCTGGCTGGTGAGAATGGTGCCTTGGAGCTGCAAAGTCCCCGGGGCCACTTAATGTTCTGAAGCCTACACAGAAATGAGCAAGGACCATCTCCAGAGTGCTAGAGGTGATGCAAGTTGGAGAGGCAGAAAGCTGTGGATTTCCTGTTAGTGAACTGTTATTCATGGTGCAAGACTATCGGCATCTGCAGTGTCCTGGGCAGTCTTGGCCCCTCAGCTCCTGCCATGGCTATTCCACTAGAAGTACGCACCTCACCCTGTGCCCCACACAGGCTAAGAACTTTTGCAAGGACCCTAGCTCATCGTGTCTTCCTAATCCATGGATTAATCCACCAGCCTCAGCGTACTGATTTCTGCCCCAAAGGAGGCTTCTTTAAGCTTCTTTGACCATCACCTTTTGATACTCCTCAGCCACAGATACACATTTAGCAAGAGCCACTTTAGATAGAAATGGCTACAAAAAATGCAAGCCACTTAAAACCATATTTTGTTTCCATTTCCTTTCACGCCTTTAGAAAATCTCAGAACAGTAAATTAGGAATCAAGCAGTTTAAAATCGTTTCTGCCTCGCCACTTCACAACAGCTGATCCATCCTGGCTGCGAACATAGTTTGTTTCATCTGAGGTGCTGATTCTCCCCCTCCCTCGGACCATAATTTTGAATCATAAAACATACCAAGTAACAGGCAATACAGTTTAGATGCCCATCTTCCCAAAACAATGACGGGAAGGCTACTATTTGCTAAAATGTATCTTCATTTACAGAAAAGGTTTAAATCAAGAATGACTGCTCCTTACAAGTGTAGTAATTCCAGGTGTTGTAAACAAGCGGTTAAGGACAGACAGACCCTGGTTAGCCTATTGTGGTGCAATTCTGCCATCTGGTGGTAGCTGCAGGGTACTTCATATTCTTTTGGACGTGACTTCCTAAACTTTAACAATGTTCCCAGTCTCCTTCCATTCCTTTTATTACTGCCCCCAAGTCTCTAGCAGAAACGAAGAATGTGATTTGGACTCGTCGCTCTTATGTAAACCAGATGGTTATGAAAAGCAGGGGTGAGGTTGTTCCAGCAGCTCGCTGCTTTAGTCCGGACAAGGGGGTAATCAACACGTTCCAGCCACAGCCCTGGCCTCCCTCCCCAAGCTGCGCCCTCCCCAAGATCTGAATCCTGAGGCCCGAGAACTAAGGAATGTCCACACCCGAGAGAGCCCTTTTACCAATGTCTTTTTCTCCTCGCGCTGGAGAGCTAACTCAGGGCCTCGTGGATGCTAGACAAATGCTGTGGCCCTCTGTTCGCAGTCTGAGTCTTCCAAACCCTTTTCCTCCTGCTGCTACCTGCCCTCTCTGGGGTCTCATCCCCAGACCCATTTCCTGAGTCCTTATTGATGCTTGGAATGCTCCCATTTTGCCTGAGGTTTTAATGATTAATAGCAGGCGCTGCCTTTCAGATATCATTTGCATTTGATCACCTTCCCGACAGCTCAAGACCCACGCCTTCTCGGAAACAATAACAATGAAAGGAATTTCAGGTCTCCCTGGGCAGTTTTCAGACCACAGCCTGGCGGTGCAGCACAGCCGCGCCTTTTCCAACTCGTGGGCCTCTACTGCCACCTTCTGGAAGTTTGTGTGCCCTGCAGCAGCTGTGCACTTAGAACAAAACTAGATAAGGAGGGGGTGGCATTTAGGTTAGGATATTTCACAAAAGCTTGTAGCTTTTTATTTGCTGTTCTATCAAAAAATAGAACTGAAATCCATCGCACTACATGTGTAATGTAGAAAAGTGTAATAAAGGCTTATATGAGGCACCCAGACCCCACCATGCATTACTAACAAATAAATAAAGCTTATAAATGTTTTATATGTTACAGGACAAGACTAAATAGAACTAATACGTGCTCATCCTACACTGGGGACCGCTGACAATCACATAGACCTTTTTATTTGGCAGACAATGTTCTGTGTACTTCGTTACTCTCAATATGTTTACATACTGCTTTTTTATTTTTATTTTTATTATTTAACAGGGTCTCACTATGTAATTTGGGCTCGCTTTGAACTCACTATGTAGCCTGGGCTGGACGCAAACTCACAGTGACCCTCCGGCCTCAGCCTCCTGAGTGCTGGGATTACAGGCTCGCACCACCACGCCCGGCTACACATTTTTATCTGCCCCAGTGACCCACTGAGATGCCCACTGCCCTTGGCCCTGTCTTACAGAGGATGCTGCATTTCTGAGAAGCCGTCCTGTCTAAAGTTACAGGGCAGGTCGGGCTGGGGCTGCCTGGCTTCCTAGTCAGTGTTTCTTGCCATCAGGTGAATGCGGGCTTTTCAGTAAGTCAGACGATAACCACGAAGCAAGACTCTAAAATGCCAACCTCTGCACCCTTTCTGGGCCCCAAGACTACAGAATTCAGTAGCACACACTGAGACTGTGATCTCTGCAGTCGGGAGGGGCCGCTCCGCATCGGACAGTCTAACAAGAAGTGACCTGAAGCTTGAAACCAGCCTGAAAAATTAGATCCATCCACAGGAAGAGCTCAGGAGTCACCCACCAAGGCAGGGACCGCGGTGCAGCACCTGCGAGGCCGAGCATCTGGGGCCACTTGAAGAGCACAAGTAAGGCCCAGACTCGGGGGTGAAGAAGAGGAGGGGAAATGTGGGGGAGAGGTCTGAGAACCGGCACAGATGCAGCCTAGAGGCCTGGATGAGCCGGCCACGGGCATGCATTTCCTACTGAGTGGAGAGAAGGCCTCTGGAAGTCTTCGAGCTTAGCCAAAAGATTACCTAGCTGTTATGGAGACCGGACCTTAAGGAGCAGAGAACGGAAGTCGGAGTCCCGATCAGCAGTCTCTGGCAGCAAAACATCAAGAGTCAAAGATGCCTCTGAGCAGCTGTACAAGCAGGACAGCTCTAACCCCAGCGTGGCGACACACACCTGTAATCCCAGCACTGGAGAGGCCGAGGCAGGAGGATCTCCCATATTCAAGGCCGGCCTGGGATCCATAGTGAATTCAAGGCCAGCCTGGAAACATAGAGATCTTGTTTCCAAATAACCAACAAGCGGGGTAGACAGATTGAAAGGGTGCAAGCTGTGCTGTGACCGTGGGGGGTTCCAGGGTCCCTGATGCGTCCAGTGCAGGAGGAAGAAGGGAACGTGGGCGGAAGTTAATCCCCGGGTGAGGGAAGCTTCTGTGGTGGAGAGAAGGACGCTTAAGGGGGAGGGAAGTAGATCTGAACTTGTACAGGAGACCCAGACCAGGGTCCCACTCTGTTTTCTGAGGTTTCCTTCAAGGGCAGCAGTTGGATGTCACTGGGCTTCCACACACACATCTGGGGAGATGCAGGCACTGGGACTTGCTCGGTCCTCTAAGTCCATGCAAGAGTTAATTGCAGGAAGTGGCATTAACATATTCCACACCAACACCTAAAGGTGGGCAAGCCCATTAAATTTGATTTGAAAAGGTTCTCATTCAATCCTCAAAGGAATTATCTAGAAGTGAGGGTAAAGTTATCTTCTAATCTCCATCCTCTTATCCTATGACTGGTTTGAACTGTATATATGTATATGTTGTAATTAACACTGTCCTTGGAGGGAGGGTTTTTTGTTTGGCAGTAAATTTTCTCTTCACACAAGTTGCCAGCAAGTGTTGGACCACCTGGACTTCATTCTGTTTCTTGAGCTGTTTTAACTTGATTTTGTGAAGTTTGAGAATTGTTGCTGCTTCTTAAAGAAATCTCCAGGAAATCAAAAAGATTCTGGGTACAGCATACATGAGCTGGAAATAGGAAATGGAAAGAAACGCTCCTTTTTCTGGGAAAACATACATAGTTAGCAATTATGTAGCACTAGCCTGCATTTAAAAGCCAGTCTTTTCCACTGTCAGAAAGAAACTGTGAGTGCTGGGAATATTCCTACCTTGTTCCTTGGTACCTTTACAGAATTTCCATTTTCCGGTTCACTCTCTTCAAATACCTGAAGGACAGCCGATTACTCATTTACCAAAACTACTAAGACGTATGTTTCACTACGTGATCTGTTTTTAAGCAAATAGCTCTAAATTCTTGGCAAATCTATCTTGGCTTATCTTGGCTTATCTTGATAAGCACCACATTGATATTTTACAATGAATATCACATGCTTTTCAATCAGCATGAAGGATATTGTGGTCTTCGGAGATGCCATGTTTTAGATTCCTGAAGCTGGGTTTATTCAACCAAACAGTGGTGGGCTGGTTTGGATCTCCAAGTTTGTCCTCCTTCTTGACGTAGCTGTTGTTGGAGATTCCAACACTAACTGAGAGTTGGATTGCAAACTCTGTAGGATTCCGTGAAGCTCTAAAATCCTATGAGTCTCTGCCACCGTTGACACCAACAGGATAGCTCTCTTCTCAAAAAAAAACAATATAAGCTCAGGGTAGCAGAATTTATAGTGTTTGATATTTGCTAGGCACCGTTCCATAGTCACATCAAGCTGTTTAGTATTAATGAGGAATTGTGAGGT